GAAACTGTTGCCTCATTTACCAATTGAGTGAGAGATATGGATGCAAAATAAACTGGTTTTAATGTTTGGTTGTGAGACCTAAATAGAAAATGGAAAATGTTGATACACTTCTAAGCATAGATTCACAGGTGTATTTGAAAGAGAAGTTGAAGAGAATTAAATTATCAACATAACTTTTAATATAATGATCAAAATTTAAAGTTAGTATTTAGAGAAGAGACAGAAGTTTAGGGAGACTGATTTGATTCTGTAAAACTCAGGATATCAATGTGCTATCTGGGAGAGAATGTTCTGATTGGATCTCTTCTGTGGAACTATATTGTGTCATGAAAAAGATCCATTGTGTACTGGGAGAAATGCTGTCATGTTTCCTGCCTTATAGAATCTATCAATCTCATCTATCAGATGAGAACTGTGGCTTCTATTATAGACAATATCTGGAACTGATATTGGATTTGCCAAACTGCCACATAAAAATAAAAAATATCAATTTATATAACTTCTATGTATTTTCTTTTAGATGTTAGAAGTGTTACTCAAGAAAACAAATGTTTTAAAATAATTACTTCCATTGCTTTATATGTAAACATCTAAATGGATAAGCAAACAAGTGGCATATATTAAGGAGAGTTTCTGCTCTTAACAGAAATTAACAAAAGAAATGATAAATTTACATCAATTTACATGAATTGCCAATAAAATTTATCTGAAATTAAAAATATGGTGAATTAACATTCACTGAAGTCAATGAATTGGTATCATATTGTCTCATTGCTAACAAGCTTCAATAAACAGCACTGTGGTGTTTCAAATATGCTTTCAAATTTCATAGTTATTTCTTACTTTGGCTTTGAATGGTAGAAACAGAACAAACTTAGATACTGAGCTTTTAAGTCAGATATTAAATTGCCATCATTGTAAAATTTTCTTTTGTTTAAGAAAGTTATGATGAACTTCGGAAAATATTTGTTTGGAAAAGCTATAGCAGTACAAAATAGTGTATGTTTGAATGAAAAATACTTCATTGTGTACTTCAATTGAGCAGTTATTTAAGCTGGAGGATTTCTTGGAAAAGGTTATCCTAAATCAGAAGCAAAATTTTCCAGTTTATACCATTAAAGTAGAAAACATCAAAACTACCAAGCAACAGAATCAATTTATTAGGTTGCAGTGCTTTGCTGCCTAAGAGAATGTTACAGTAGTCTAAAATGATGAAAGAGAAATATGTACCAGTGAGGGAGGAAAGTCCTTTCAAAACCCTTCAGGGAGCAGAAAGGTGCCTTTAACTGAGGAGCAAGCCAGTTGTGGATTTTGCTGTTACTGTGAAGATCCATGTCTTACAGCAGACTTCTAGGCCAAGAGGCAACAGCTTGGAATGTTTTCTAAATTTGAATACTTTGGGTATTATGCATCTTTCCTTCATCTAGGCTATGTAGCTGTAGTGTACCAAGATTCCTAAATGGTCTGCTTTATACCTGTATAAGGATACTGGTACTTTCTTCAATTTCTGTTAAGCTCTGGATACCACTGATATTTTCTGGCACTGGAATGTACTTTTTTCAAATACTGCATTAATATTTTCTTCCTTTAGTCATGTAGGAGAATGGTCTGTAGTGATGGTAGTCCAAAGAAAAGAATTACCAGATTTTTAAAAGATAAACAGATATTTGAAAGTGGTGTATCTTTGGGGCAGGGACTGCCTCTAATTGAATGTTTATAAAGTGCCTAATATAATTAAGCCAGGAGCTGGTTGACTGCTATGCATGGCACAGTCCAAATATTTAAGAAAAATAACAACAGTTCTGTAGTCATAATGATCTTTCTTTTGATATTTTCAAGTGTTTTCCTAAAACACACTGTCAATTTCTGCAATTTGGAGGGATTCAGGCTCCAATTTTCAGTCAGTTTGATTCTACCATATCCATCTGCAGCTATACCTCTGCAGGCTGCAGTGTGTGCCCTACTCTCATACCAGTACCAGGCAGTGAGGAGAGTGAGAGAGAGACTACTGAAATTGTACCCTGTCTTCTCTGAGAAGACACAGGCAGACACACAAGTTCCCTGTACTTTCTCCACTTGGGAAAACAGAATTACTTAAGGGATAGGGGGAGATGGTGACAAGTTCCTTTGCTGGCACAACAAGCACATTTCCTCTGGGTCTGCCCCAGCTTCCAAGGTGCCCTAATATAATTGGGACAAGACTCTGCAAGTGGTACCAAACAGCAACAAGCATAATGGTTCATCTAGCATGAAGATATCACAAAGGTTATGTTGACCTGTGCTTTACATCAAAACTGCTTCCATAAAAAAAGAACCAACTGGTCATTTGAATAGGAGGGTCCCATCAGCAGCTAACAGAAGGCTCAGTATGCAGACTGGACCCGCTTCTTGGGAAAGTCTGATGCCTCCCTGAGGCCTGCAGAGGTTGAGGATATGAAGAGAAAGCTTCCTCCCCTCAGATGGCCTTCAGATTATTATCCATTATTTATTTTTTAGGCATGCAGTGATAAAGTCCAAACAAGATTTCTGAGGACAACTGAGACATCAAGGCTATGGGACAACTGGTTAAGGGACCAGGAGTGGAAGTCGTTCTCTCTGCTACCCTTCCAGTTGCAGAGAACGATGAGGAAAGAAATAGGAAGAGCCATCAGATCAGGATCTGGCTCTGAGGCTGGTGTCACTGGCAGGATTTGGAGTTTTTTGATCGTGGATTGGTTTAAATGACATGAGGCCTATTGGTACCTGTGTCAGAAGGGCAAAAGGATCTTTGCACAGGAGTTAGCAGGGTTCATTGAAAGAGCTTTAAATTAGGTTTGAAGGGGAAAAGTGATCAAACAGGGTTTACTAGAGATAAGCCTGGGTGCAGCATGCCACTCTACAAGGGATGGTGCCACTGAAGTCCTTCAGTCTTATGTTTCAGTATAGGTAGGGGATGTAGATCCAGGTGGGTGATGTGGTGGCTGAAGGCCATCTTGGGCACATTGTCCATGTAATGATAGACTTTTCAATTATCAGAGAAGTAAGGAGACAGGTCAGTAGGACTGCTACCTTGGACTTAGAGAGGGCAGGCTTTGGCCTGTTCAGGAGCATGTTTGACAGAGATCCTTGGGAGGCAGTCCTGAAGGTAGAGGGCTCCAGGAAGGATGGATGTTCTTCAAGGAGAAAATCTTAAAAGGTTCAGGAGCAAACTGTCCCCATGGGCTGAAAGATGAGCCACCAGATGGGCCTGACTGAACAGAGAAACGTGTCTGGGATTCAGGGGATAAAAAAGAGTTTATGACCATTGGTAGAAAGGGCAGGCAACTCACGAAGACTAGAAAGTTGTCATAAGGTTATGTAGGGAGAAAATTAGAAGTCCTAAAGCCCAAATAAAACTTAATCTGACTACTGCCATAAAATATAATAAAAAATGTTTCTATAACTGTATCAGAAGCAAAAGGGGGGGCTGAGCAGAATCTATCTCCAATTTTCATTGGTTGTAGGGGAAGTGTAGTGACAAAAGATGAGGGAAAGGCTGAGGTACTTAATACATTATTTACCTCCATCTTCAGTTGTAAGACCAGTTATCTGAATATCCCTGAGCTGGAGATAGGGAAGGGGAGCAGAATGGAGCCACCATAATCCAAGGAGAAATGGTCAGGGACCTGCTGCTCCACTTGGACAGAGACGAGTCTACGGCATCAGATGGGATCCATCCACAAGTTCTTCCTAGGAGTATTTGGACAGCCATTTCCACTTACAGGACATACTCTGCATGCCTAGAAATAAGGTTTCTCACAGTCTGGGACACCTTCTAGTCTGAACTAGTCCAGAAGTACTCTTCCTGGGAGTGGGTACAACTTGTTAAAAATTTAAGATGCAGTGATTTCTGTCAATGATTAATTTTTATATCCTTTAATTGTGTGTGTATGAATAATTAATTGTATTAATTTGTAATAATTCATAACATTGACTATAAATATTCATTCATGCTTTTATGCATGACACAACTATTGTACTGAAATTACCAGTGTTAGTGATAATTTCCCTATTAGTTCAGTTAGCTATTATTTATGTGTATGACAAGTTGGTCAAGTTTTTTAGTTCTGTCCTAGTGCAATGATGTAGAAGTCTATGTGACTGGGCAGAACTTGGGAGTATTAGACCGATAGATAAGACCATATAAAATTTGACAACTGCTGACAAATTTATCCAGCTGCATAATTTCAGAAATGCTTTTATAAATAAATGGCTTTTGCAAGGTAAAAAAAAAAGTACTTCAAGCATGACTCATTTTTAATTACGAGAGAGAATGCAAAGTACTTGCTTTTAATAAAATTAAAAGAGATGAAACAAGTGGTTTTTATGAAATGTCTTAGTGTCATAAGATTAGAAGCATGACACTGAAAGCTAAGAGAAACATCTAAGTAGGCTAGAAAAAACCCTTATTTTTCCCCTAGAATGTTTTTATTTTGAAAAAAGCCTACAAGGTTTGTTTGTGGGGTTTTTTTTTCTATAAACATTTGCTTCATTGTACTGACTCTCAGAATAGTAGGAATTGTAAGTTGAATGAATAAAATGATCATGAAATAAATGAGTACAAATTTACAAACACCAATTGTTGCACTAGAATGCATCTGTTGTCAACCTTTGCAGGTTGTCTTGCAGTTGTATAGTTCCATTGGCCCCAAGTGGTACTTATTGAACATTTATTTTTCATTTGTTTGGACCACGCCAGTATTATACAGGCAGCATGAGGGAATAATGAGCCACATTCTTTGGGTTACTGAAGAGTCAGCACAAATTGTGGGAACAAATAACAATCAGACAAGGCAGTGTTTTATAACATCAGGATGGCAATCCATCTTTGGGGTCTTTCTAAGCTGGGCTAATAAAGGCCCACTTACAATTCCCAACAGAGTATAGTTTAATTAAATTTGTCCATTAGAGGACTCCTCCCCCTCCCTCTACATTTTAGAAATTAATTCTGCTTTCTGCCTGTTGTTCTTTTTGCATCACAGATGCACTGAACCTTCGTAACCGACAGATCCTCTGCACCACGCTGAAAATCATCCAGCACCTGGTGGTGTCAGCTGAAATGGTGGGGGAGGCCTTGGTGCCCTATTATCGGCAAATTCTCCCAGTCCTAAGCATCTTTAAGCACATGAATGGTGAGTTATCCTAACAGACACTGTGTCTTTCAACTCCTAAGGCAAAAGAGGCTCGAGGCAGGGTTAATTAGCAATGTAGTTAAGATTTATTACTGTATATAAACTCAAATCCATTTGGAGCTCTAAATAATGTAAACTCCCCCTCTTACTATTCCCTAAGGATGCACTGAAATTAACAATTTCATTTATTACTCCTTGCACGTACAGTTTATTTAACACAGTACAGAAGCAGTGAAGCAGTTCTATAATCTTCCAATAATTAAATTGTAAAGTTTGTAACAGTCTTTTGAATACATTAATAAATTGCAAAGGTTTTTTCCTCCCTCCAACACATTAGTTTAGTCCAGCTGTTTTATTCAATTCTTTGCTCTCCACAAGCAATTTGCTGCTACCAGAAGGTTTAGGAAAGATTAAAAATAAAAGTAGAGATCAAACTAATTAATTTGAGGGTTGAGAGAACTCCATGTTGTAGAAGAATTTGAAGTTAGATAATATTGAGCAAAATAGTGAAGTTTGAAGTCATTGCTGCACACTTAGCAGGTTTTATTATAGAGAACTTTAGTACTAATTTATGTCTACAGTTAAGTATGTGTTTTCTTTGTAGTGCAGATCTCACCAGTCTCAGTCTTTAATAACTGGTACTATGAGTTTCTATATACTGTGAATACATTTACACCACAGTCATCAGCTGAAGTCAGCATGATGTATATTGCTTTTATCAAATTAATTTTTAAAATACTTATTGGTAGTAAATCTATCTGTACTTATTTTCAATTATCTATGAAGTTACTGACTTTAACATTTCTATTATTGATTTTTAGCCATATAGATGAAAAGAAATTAATTCCTCACGAGCTTTCAAAAGAGAGTTTTCATGAAATTCATAGCATTTTAATAGTTCTCTGTAGGACTCCATATTATACTTTTTGTTTGCATTACTACAGAATGTAATACCTTATACTCACTCTGTAGTAAGTGTATGATTCAAATCAGATTGAAAAATGCCTGTTCAGAGACCGACTTGAAGGCACCAATGAAATTTACGTTTTAGATCTGTTTAAATACATGTGCATTTCTGACTTTGTTTTACTTAGTGAGAACCATTCAGTAACGTGGAATTTCACAAATGCAAGTTATTTCTGATGACAGTTGTGGCTTTCCAGAAGTTGTGGGATGAAAGGTTATGAGTGAATCTGTTGGCTGAACTTAAGCAATTTCAGTAGGGCTCCTTATGAATTGGAAGATTTCCCCCTAACAGATCTAATTTCAGTATCTGGCACAAAACAAGACTGCAAAAATGACTATCATTGATTAATGAATATAGCACGCATGCTTTTTTTCCAAATTTCAGCCTGAAGTAGCCCATAAATTCTCTTGGCTGGGCTTTTCTACAGTGATTTCAGATGAATAATAGGGAAAGCTCAAGTGTAGCCAGGTACATAGCTTGGAAAGGCATTAAACACAATCTAAATATATCTTTAGTTTTGATTGTATTGTGAGCAAAATAAAACATAATTTCAATGTATTTGCATGAGATCTGTGCTCTGTGAATTTGTCCCTATACAAAACTACACTTAATCGTGATGTTTGACATTTAAGAACTAAACCCCCCCAAAAAAATTAAAAGTAGTAATCCAAAATTAACTGATTTTATTAAGTCATTACTTTTTGAGAAATAAAAATTTTGAAGCTTTAGTATTACCGGGAATGAAATAGATGCTATTTGCAACGCCTAACGTGTAACTGTTCAACTTACTCAGTACTTACGTGTGGATGACAGGGAATACTTCTGTCTCCTCCTTCCACAAAAAGATTATGTCTCTTTCCTCCTTCACTGGTGGTTGGCAGGAAATACAGGATCCTTTCTTCCTCTATCTGACATAAGCTAATAGGCAGCTCAGGTGCAGGTGTTTGCTCCCAATTATAAGGGAATTGTAGAGACTGATCTGGGCTATTTTCTTCAATGTTTATTGATACAGGTGAAAGATGGGGTAAGTGAAGTGTGCTTCTTTCTTCTTTTCTGTATAGCTTGTAGGAACTAAGAACTGTGGTGCATCTTCCTGGACTTGTATGATTTGCAGTTTATTAAGTCAGACACTGTGGAAGTTTGTCCAGATGAAAGTTAACTGGAAGAAGCCATATTTTAGTCATTTCTACCTCAGTAGATCAGTATCTATCTGGTGAAAGGAACTCCTTCCCAAATTCAGCATCTGTGAATACCACTCTCAGTAAACAAGCTTATAGTTAAGAGAAAAGGGGGGGAAAAAGGAAAAAAAAAAGTTTTATTAAAAAATTAAGGTCAACTTGCCTTAGTTACCTGGTGACCAATTTAGAACAAATCAAAATGATTCTTCATGCAGTGTGTGTGATGTGAAGCTCTGGAACTTCCAACTTGAAATTCTTTAGATACAAAAGATTTCCATATATTAGGTGGAGTTTCAGAAGTGTCATTAAAAAAGAGAGTTTATTGCTTGTTTGATAAAACACGTGTCATTACTATTAGTAATTTTTGTAAATTATAAAAAAGGAGAGCATTGATGAAAAATAAATTAGGAGTTTTAATCATTGAAAGCATATAAAACATGTTCACCCAACTAAGTCACAAGATACAGGTTTAAAAGTAATCAATGCAATCGAAGTTATAAATGCCGGGGGGAAATCCAAGCTTCCCAAGATAGTCTGTGTGAAATCCAGAGGAGATGGTTCCATTAACTTCTGAACAGTCTGGTTAGTGAGCAAGGGGGTTTTTGGTGCACAAAGCATAATTGGTGTGCCTGAATTTGTGCCCTCTCTGGAACTTCGGCCCTGACTTTCAGTGGATGTCTCTTTTCCCTTGGGTTCCTAATTGCCCTCTGGCATAGCATGAAGACATAAAGGATCAAAGTTCTGCTGGTGATGCTACCACTCATGTCTTTATTGGTGGAGACAGGGAGAGCACCCTCACCATGTGGCCTGAGTGTGCTCTGAAACAGGGCTGAAGCTTTCTCCTCAAACTGCCAGCCAGAGCCATAAGGCTGGCAGGAGAGCAAGAGAAGGGAATGAAAATATATTCCAGTGACTGAGGAAGGGGAATACTGCTGCGATACAGGAGCTGTTTGTCTATTTTCTGGAGACTGGGAGGAGACTAACAGTCTCCAAGCAAGCTTCCCAACATAGGACTATTATACAAATTTGCTACTATCTAAGATAAGAAACTAAAAATGTCATGACAGTACTTACTAAGTCTTATTATATACTCTGTATTGCGACTGTAGTTAAATGAGTAAGGTAAATGTACTCTTATAAAACTCATTTAAATCTTGTGAAAAGGGAAAGAAAATTCTGTATAGACTCAAATGGAAGTATTCTTTTGCATCACAAAACCCTATCTTTTTGTGTATCTTCTTTTCTAAGCTGTCTTTTATAAATCTGTGAATTATCTGGAGTAATTACAACTTAAAAATAAATACAGTAAGTTTGTTATTTTATGAAAGCAGACAGAAGAGAAAAACAAAAGAGAAAAAAGAGGAAAATAAGGAGTCTTCAGAGCCTGGAATATGCTATTGGGGTACATTTATGCCAGAATGATGTCTGAAACAGAAACCTATTCATTAGAAGGAATAGACACCTGACTGGTAAATGAAAATGTCATGTATTATATTACATGGAGCAAGAACAGTTTTGCAAATAAAATAAAGTTATATTAAACAAAAATATTATTAGAATTTACAGGTCTCGAAGAGAGAAGTGTGAGGTGCCACTGCACTGTGGAAGGTACCTCTCCAGCATGGTAATTTCGTCTGTGACTTGTTACAGTCACTATGTGGTAAACAGTGGAAGTAGGGCAGACTGAAGTTTCTTTTTGCTCCAATGAAATTGCCTTGGCACTATCAATAACTTAAAGCTAACATAAACTTTGGACAGTCTCTATCTATGTAGCCAGTCCTAGAAAATAAAATTTTAGAGGTATGATTGAGAATATCTGATGTAGTTGCATTGCAGCATTCAACCAATTGTGAAGCTACAAAGCAGAATTATTCTGCATGCTTTACAGCACCTGAACTTCACTTGGGAAAAAATATTCTCTTTTCTGAAAGGTACTTCACATATTTTGGAGAACTCTATTTTAGAAAGTGCAATAATATTGCACAGACTCTAAAGGAAGAAGCAGGACCAAAGTGTTAAATGGCAAAGCAAAAGACTGTGCCTAGAGGTACAAGTCCTCCCTGTGTTTGAGTATTTTCAGAGCTGCCTGTGTATTCAGAGGCAGTGATGCTCTTCCAAGTGGTTCATAGTTACTAGTAAGAAGCAGCAATTATGCTTTAATGTGATTGAATATGCTCTAAAGAAAAATCTCTTGCCCAGAACATTTCAACTGTCTGCTTCTTCCTCTGGGAAATACAAAAGTCCTTTCAAAGGTCAGTCTTGTTCTAAAATGCTTTTCATTTTGCCAACTCTGTGTTCAGAAATCATGTTTCAGATTAAGAAAATCCCACAAACAAAAAAACCCAGACATCCTGAACATCAATGTTTACAAAGTAATGTATTTGAGGCTCTCTTAATTTCTCCTATGAATTCTGAGATCTCAGACTATTCTCAGAAAACTTTTCTCAGGGTTCCAGTGATAGTAACTTTGGCTTTTCTTTTTCCTTTTAAATGGAAAATGGAGATTCCCCGAGAATTAGTTGATTCATGGTTGAAATTTGCATGAAAAACATGTAATGCTATAAGATTATTGATAAAATAAGCCATGCAATATACTAGTAACATAAACTGTATTCTACATCGTTTTCACATTGTTCTTATACCACATTTTGACACTTACTCTTCCTATTACTATGCATATTTTGCAAGATTTTCATTATTTCTAAGCTTTTTTTGAATTCTATCAGTTATAATTTCTGAAATTTGAAAACAAAGATTCTGATGTGACTTTAAGGATACACACTTCAAAGGAATAAGGCCACCATGACAACACGAATCTAAGTGAAAAAACTAGTTTTGATATATTTTCTGGGGAG